GGCCGCCCCCCATCTTTCTTTGGGAAGCGCGCGCTGAACCCTTTCAGCGAGAAAGCAGGGGCGGCTGAGTTTTTCTGGTCTAAGCACAAGGGGGCTGAATCAGCCCCCTGCAGATAAAAGCAGCCTGTTCTTTACGTATTTGCATTTTCGCAAGTGCTAAAAGCACGTGATAGGGCCAGTAGGGTGGTTGTCGCGGCTTTAAAACAGCCGCTGGAGACGAAGCAGAAGGTAACTCTGCGATTGCCGTAGCCTGCTGACCGCTGCAGCGTGGCTTGTGGCACCGGGTGGAGCTGCAGCGTGGCTTGTGGCACGGGTTGGAAATCTTGGCAGTGAAGAGATGAACATTGAAGGCGAAGGCTTTGGGAAGTTGTTTGGAGATCCGCCTGTAGGAAGGCAGCTAAATGATGGTCACACATCAGTTGCCTGTCAGTGCAATCAGGCTTAATTATTTGTGTTGGAGAGTAGAAATCCTTTCTTTCTTTTTCTTTAAAGCAGTGTTGTTTACTCTGGTGTTTTGTCTTCAGGTGGCAGAATTTATTGATGAGCGTCCAGATGAAGTGAAGCTCATGGAGGAATTCCGAACAAATACTAAGTGGAAACTTCTAGGAGGTGAGACCAGACCTTTCCACCCTCTCTCCCTGGATATTTAAGTGCTCTGAACAATGCCATTGCAAGTTAAAAATAATATTAGTTTAAAAAAAAAAAAAATCTTGAAATGCTGAAGGGATCATGAACTGTGGGGAACCCTAACGATGGTGACTTTCTGATTGTGGTTTTTTTTTTAGACCAGAACGAAGACTCGCAGAGTTCGGATATTTCAGTACCTGCCAAATTTACCTTGAGGTACGGGGCTCCAACTGGAAATTCTTTTGTCGGTTAACTCTTGTTTTCTCGTATCGTCTGTCTCGTTCTGCAGTGTCCAAGTGCTTTGCTGTGAAATGCGAGAAAGGGCATACGCAGGGATTCCTTTTCCACCGTTGAATAACCTCGGCCTTGGGGGTGGGGCTGGCAGGCAGCATGCCGTCTAGGTTTCTGCATGATACGCGAACGTGTCCCGCAATCCTCTGATGGCGTCAGAGAAATCTGGGTGATGACTCGCTATAGATCTGAAACATGGTGAGGATGGTGGTGATACAACAAGCCTCTCTTCTGAAAGCATCTCTGGGATGTTCCAGGGTCGCACAGCGTCCAGGCTCTCTGAGAGACCATGATGGGGCGTTTCCTTGTGAGAAGATGATTATACAAGGGCACAAAACGGGTTTTGTAGTCTGAGTGTCGGAAGGGTCCCTGGAGACTTTAAAATTACAGCTTTCCTGTGATCCAGGTTGCCTCGGAGGGTTTCTGGGATCTACTTTGGGAAGTCCGTGGCTCAGTGATGCAGGGAAGTGCAGAATCAAGTACGAATTCGCGCTCAGAAAGTTGTTTTCATCCTTGACCCCTACTGCTAGCTTTACACGTCCTGCTTGGTTTTTGTTTTCTGTCTGGAGACAGCAAAACAAACAAAAATCTAACTCTCATGTTCACCTTCTCCTCCCCTCCCAGGCGACAGCGCCACGACTCCCCGGACAGCTCGCCGCCAAGGAGACTGCGGCACGACTCCCCAGACAAATCGCCTCCAGGGCAACAGCGCCACGACTCCCCGGATCTGTCCCCTCCCAGGCGGGAGAGAAACAATTCCCCCAACTTTTTGCCTCCCAGGCGACAGCGCCACGACTCCCCAGACCTCTCCCCGCCAAGAAGGAAGCGCCACGACTCTCCAGACCTCTCTCCCCCAAGGCGGACCTCCCAGGCGACAGCGTCACGACTCCCCAGATGTCTCTCCAAAGAGAGTCAGTTCAGCGATGGGGAAAAAGGGCTGCAAAACCACAGACAAGTCCCAGTCGGGGGGTGTCCAAGGAGAGCAATCTCAGCTCAGGCACGGTGTCTCTGACAAGTCCTCATCACGTCAGAAGCGTCAGGCTACTCCAGATCTGTCCCCTCCACGGAAGAAGAGGTACGATTCTGACCCAGATTCGTCACCGCCTCGGAGAAAGAGGACTGGGTCACCTAGTCTGAAAAAGCAGAGCAGAACAAAAGGTGAGCGTGCGTAAGAGTGTGTTCTGTCTGCCCAGTGCTTTGCTGGCTGCCCACTCTGGGATCATGTTTGCACGCTCCTGAGAGATGAGTGGCGTGGAATTAGTAGTCTGCAATCATGGAATGGTAGCGGATAGGTTGTCATTTCTGTTGGTACAGCTAGTTCTTGTAATCCTATTTTTCCGTCCGCTGGACTAGTATTAATCTAAGAGTCACTGACTAAGGCTTAAACGTGTCCGAAAGGAAAACAAAGTTTAAACCCAGTCTCCAGGCAGTACACGTTCAGAAGGAAGAAAATTCACCTACAGCTTGTCATCTCTTAAGGTCTTGATTTTTCTAGGAGTTAACCTCATGCACCACCATGTTTAGTCCTTTCGTGGGACTAATTCTGTGATTTTTAGTTAGTTATGTCTTTACTGCAGGTGCTTCTCCAGCCACGAAAAAGCTTAGGCAGGTGCCCTCTCCTCAGAGGTGCCTGAGGCACGACTCTGACTCTCCATCTCCACGGAGGGGTACCCGGAATGCCTCTGATGCAGACCGCAGGCTGGGCCATGTACACAGCGATTCCCCTAAGCGTGGTCCTCTGAAACAGAATCAGAGCAAGTCTTCAGACTCTGATTTATCTCCTCCACGACGGACTCTGCCAGCCGGAAAGGATCAGCACAGTTCAAGGAGTCCCCCTGACCTCTCACCTCATCGCCACCGTGACGCTAAGGGATCTCCCAAGAAGGTAAACATTTAGTCTTTCCATTTAAGCTCTCGATGACTTCCTGGTGATAGAAAACTGTAAAAGTCCCACAACTTACCAATTGTGGAGTAGAAATTTCGTATATCTCATGTATGCAGCCGTGCCAGACCCTCTGCTTGCAATAAGCAAGGCATGAGGTAAGCGTGACAGAGGATCTCTGCCTCAGTCCGCTCTGTTTCTGGAGGTCTGGGGAAGCTGTTCGCGAGGGTGCCAGCGAAGCGGCTTTGTAACATGGCTGTCTCTGCTGATGCGTCTCTCTTGATCTCTTGATCTCCCTCGTTATGCCTCTGGATCGCTGGACAGCTCTCAGCTAGCAGTAAATGTGATTTTTTTTGTTTGATTTGCAGGCAAACGTGATGTTATCTGGGGTCAAAGCTGGCTTGGTGTCAGCTGATGTGCTGCGGAGGGAACAGCAGGAGCTCAGGAGGCATGAGAGAAGTAATAAGCACTTGGAAGGTAGGGGTGTAAAAACACTGCATGAGCACCAGCTCGCTTTTTCTTTCTCTGCTTTCAGCTGTCTCTTGATGCTGTATCAGGCCCTGGTTTTAGGGTGCTGATGGAGAGCATCCCTGTGGAGCAGCATCTAGATGTGCTGATAGATTCCTTGGGTAGGGTCACCGAGCCTCTGAAATAAAAGATTTATAAACGGTGATTTCAAAGCAATGCCAGTGAAATCATAGGGAGGGTGAGAGGCTTTTTCTCTGTCTGCCCCATCTGCACGTCTGAAGAAGCAGGCTGATACTCAGAGAGCTCAGGGTACGAGCGTGGCTATGTGGGGCAGCAGCTAAAAGCAAGAGCTGTGATCCTGCTCGGGTTTGGATGATAAGCTCTTTCAGAGGCTAGAACAAGCAAAAGGAAAAAATGTTGAAATAGAATCATAGAATAGTTTGGGTTGGAAGGGACCCTTAGAGTCGCAATTAGTCATTGAATTGTCTGGAAACGGCAAAATGTTCCAAAACGCGTGACTTGAGGCATCTGCTCCCTCCAGAGGAATCCCGACACTCTGAGACCGTCTTCCGAGACAAGTCAGGCCGCAAGAGGGACCTCGCGCAGGAGCGGCTGGAGCAGAGGCAGAAAGCTGAAGCGAAGTCCGAGAGAGACGAGCAATACGCCAGATGGGGTAAAGGGTAAGGTTCTCCAGAGCTCCCCAGCACGGTCCCTGGGCCTCACGTTACAGCTTAGGACTCTCGGCTCCCTGCTTTTTAGCCCAGTTTGATACCGCTTCCAGTGGCGGTGTTGGTGGCCTGTCGCTTCGTTCTGAGTTTGAGCCTGGGACCAGGAGAGGACGTGTTCCGCACGTCTTGGAGACCCCCTCAGTTATTTCCTCCGTTGCTGGGTGTGCATTGGGAATTGCGCACACAGAGTGGAGGTTCAGGACTGTGGTCAATCCTGCAATTTTGAGCAAGTCACAGTAAACAATTGCTTGGTTTTGGAGTGACGCTTGGTGCTTGTTTTCAGGCTAGCGCAGGGGAGGCAACAGCAGCAGAACGTGGAAGATGCAATAAAAGAGATGCAGAAGCCGTTGGCCCGTTATATTGATGACCAGGATCTGGATCGAATGCTGAGAGAACAAGAGAGAGAAGGAGACCCCATGGCTGACTTCATCAAAAAAAGGAAGGCCAAAGAGAACAAAGAAAAGAAAGGTTTGAGTTACACCAGTGTCTGGTTTAAGGCCTCAGCAGCGTAGAACTGCAGCTGCTGTTCAAAAAAGAGCCTCAGACTGCCAGAGCAGCTTGGTCCTAAAGGACTGCTTCTCTGGAGTCAGTGTAGTAGCAGTATTTGCTATTATTGGCTTGTTACCAGTAACGGTTACTATTATTTGTTAGCTTAGAGAGCAGGATCTGGTGACTTAAAAATCAACAGACTCCAGTTTGGTCAGGTGTCTCTTTGGAAGTTTCCTCTGCCAGCTGTAGTTGGCCGTTAAGCAGCCTGTGCACTATGCCTGTGTATACCTCTTAGGTTGATGACGATGTGACCGCGTGATTGCACTGAAGTAGTAAACATCTGTATTGCTCTTTCTGTTCCTAGAAAAACCTAGGTACAATGGACCAGCACCTCCACTCAACAGATTTAATATATGGCCCGGGCATCGCTGGGACGGTGTGGACAGGTACGTGGTTCCTGATACAGTGATGTGGTAGAATAATAGTAACAATTCAAGGAGTTCACAGCGTAAAGGTTCCCAGTTCTCAGATGAATGAGATTGTTAGCAATAGTAAGGTAGAGTGTGTTAAGTTACAAACGGGTGATGAATGCGTGCTTGTCCGGGACGGAAGGGAGCAAGGCTGGTGCTGTTACCAAGGGTGTGAGTAGCTTCTGCAGTGCGAACACCCGACAGCACGCAGGGAGAGACCCGCTCATCCTCAGGATGAAGGTGACCGAACTCGCTTCGGAGATGCTAACTGTTGTTAACCACTGATTGAAACAGATTAACCTCAGTGGAAACCGAGCCAGAGTAAAAGTAGGGGAAAACTCGTAACGTCTCTAAAAAGCTTCATTGCTTCAGAAAAGCTTTTGCGCAGCAGCCCATGGTCTTCTCGGTATTACTTTGTAGGTCCAACGGATTCGAGCAGCAGCGCTTTGTCCGGATAGCCAACAAGAAGGCAGTTCAGGAGCTTGCGTACAAGTGGAGCGTCGAGGACATGTAGACAAGATGAAGAACCACGCAAAGCAGCGCTCCTGAATTGATGCTACAGAGGTTCACCTGCTGCTACTGCCAGAGCTGTGAGGAATGGCTCGCTCTGCCTGGACCAAGCCCCGTCCTCGGCGTTCAGCGTCCCAGTGGACCGTCTTCTGAGAGGCAAGGCTGAACTTAGAGGAGAGCTGCCAAAAGAGGATTTTCCTGTCAGCCGGAGAGCACGAGCACAGAGAGCTGCAGCGGCGCCGCTTGGAGCAGCGCAGCGGCTGAGCGTGGAAGAGAGGTGCGGTGGCCGCTGCCTGCAGGAGTACCTCGGCTCTCTGGCGCTCCCCCATAAGGTGCTGCAGACATTGGTTTCTGGTCCGTTTATTTGTCTTCTAACAAACCGTAGAAACTATATGCTTAATTGTTTTATGCCAAATGCTTTGTCCTCTGAGGGCGGTTCACAAGTCTTCAGGTGTCCTCAATCTCAGGTTTTTCTTCATGGTAAAAGTATGCTGAACGCTTGGAGAGTTAACCTCGTCCAGTAGGTCACTCTGCCAGAACTCAGTTGCAGTTTCAGTTGTGTTCGAGTTCTTCCAGAGAGCAACTATACCCTGCAACTACTTAGTACTGTGAGCTGGTTTGCCTGTGGGCTGATGTCAGATCCTCCCTGTGTCCTTCCCAGTGCACCGAGAGGGCTTTTGTTAAGGTTTTACAGTTGTTGTGCCCTCTAGTTCACAGAGTCACTGACGTGCAGTAAAGCTCAGCTTCTCCTAGCCCTGCCTGAGCAGGAAGCTGCTTGCTGTGTATCACTGGCTCTCTCCTGCAAGAGGTTGAGAGACCGACCTGCAATGCTGTATCTGACAGCAAAATCTTCAGGAGCCCCCGCAACTCTTTGGGGGTCAGTTTCTTGTGGAAGTAAACGTACGGGGGGTGTTTAAATTGCTTCCCCTGACCGTTATTTTGGAGTAGCTAACGGTGGCGGGTTGGTCCCCCCGGACTTCTCTCTGGACAGTGGTGCTGATGACTTGCCTAGTGCCGCTGCCTGGGGGCTCGCTTCCGCGCGAAGCATAACCCCTCGCTTGTGATCAGATTTGTCGGGCTTGCAGCTGGAGGCCAGGCAGAGAGCTTCCCTTAATCCCTGCTTGCGACAAAGCACTTGTGGAAATAAATACAGTTGTTCTCGTTGACGTCCCAGGGAGCATGTATTAAATGCAGCCAGCAGTTTCCATGGAGATGCCTTGTCTTCAGTAGTGGTCAGGGGCCAGTCGTCAGAGTTGCTCTTTGCAGTGATTCTCAAGCAGCGGGAGGGCTGTGGGCGAGAAGTATAATGACAAAGTCTTCTCTGGAGTGGCAGAGTCTTGGGACTTCCTTCCCTGTTTTTTATTCACTGTGTTATGTTTCTAGCAGTCCTGGAGTCTGTGTGTACACTTGTAAATAACAGCTTTCTTTTTTTACTTGATTTTGTGTGGTGGTGTCTTTTCCAAGGCAAGGACAAGGAGGATAAATAATTGTCAGCCTGCCGGTAAAAGGATCGGATATAACGTCTGCTGCGGCCATCGCCGTCTGCGGTTACCTCTGCCAAACAAATTGTGCGTGGCTAACGTCTTTTGCAAAGTCTGTTGGAAACTATCCAGGCTACAAGTGGGGACTTACTGGACCCCAGCCGCGCTGACAGTCCCGCCTGTATTTATGGGGTAGTCGGTTAAGCTCCACTGCATGCTTTGGGGACAGATGCTCTTCTGTCGCCGCTTGCAAGTGCGTAAACCGTGGACCGCTGCTCACGGCCAGTGACTGAGGCCGGGAGAGGGATGGAGAACCGTTTGTAGGTCTTGTGGGAGCGAGCTGTGGTTTTTTACATTAATAGCCAAACTGAAGGAAACCACCCTGAGCAGGTCTCATTTCTTTTGTGGGCACAAAGGTGGTGTCGGGAAGGCTTTGCTGACGTGGGCCCTGTTGCAGCCTGTCAGGCAGGAAAATGGTTTGGGAGCGTGAGGCAATAGTGTGAGGCAGCAGTGAGAGTTCAGAGCCGCTTGCTGCGGCATATTGAAAGCCTGCTCGTCAGTCATGCGTATTTTCCAGTTGTACTTTCCCCTTCTATCACCGAGGTCCTATTTTTTTTTTTTTTTCCCCCCGTAACTTGAGGCAGCTACAGCCTTGAAGAGTGGAGCTACATTTGACACATACTCATTTTTGCTCTCACTTATTCGAGTGTTTCTGGAGATGTTAAAAAAAAAAAAAAAAACCAAAAAAGAAAACCTGTGTAATTACTGAATTCACCTCACTGTGGAGAGTTGTTGCCCTGGTTAGATGCTTGTACCTTCCTGTCCACCCTGCTTGAGTGAGAGTGCACTTCTCTTGCAGAGCAACAAAAGACAGCAGCTGGCTAGCTTGCGTGGTAGTTGGGAATATAAGCTGCTACTTAGGAAGGCAAAGCTATTTAAATGCCGGCACTAAGCACGTTTTTTTAGTACCTGAAAACAGTGTAAGCTTCTGCTCTTGCAACTTGTTTTGAAGCTGCACTTTTAAGATTTTAGATAGAGGTGCATATGTTTGTTACTACCAGAGGGACCTCATATCAGTGTTCATTACAATAGTGAATTTATGCAATACATCTAGTGTTCGTTTATTACCAGATGTTTTCTTGGTAAAACATATCTGTGCAAAATAACAGAGTATGGGAGAGCTTAGATGATGCAATTACAACGTTTTAATATGCATCCTTCTATGTTGTCGCCTCGGTGCAAATCAGCAAATATTAGGATGGCTGATCTGGATGCAGTTGGACTAATAAAACATGGGATCCGAAATGGCACTTTTGGTGCCACCACGCTCGAGGCGCTGCCGCAGCTCCCCGCGGAGCTCTGGCTGTGGCTGCTGGAGAAACCGGGGTCTCGCTGGGGTAGGTACGTGCTGCGGGGGGTGCGGGCTCTCCAGCCTTGCCACCACGCTCGAGGCGCTGCCGCAGCTCCCCGCGGAGCTCTGGCTGTGGCTGCTGGAGAAACCGGGGTCTCGCTGGGGTAGGTACGTGCTGCGGGGGGTGCGGGCTCTCCAGCCT